CAATTCTCTACAGTGTAGCCACAGTGTGACTTTTTCAGATGATGTTCCGTGAATGTGAGTGATTACTATGTGCTAAGTGCTATTGCTGGGCATTGGAAGTCCAAAGCTGAATGAGAAGCTGTTCTCCTAGTACTTAAGTCTAGTTTTACTGGGTTTCAGATTTAAAAATTAATAAACATCAAAGAACAGTTTCTCAACAAGGCCTTTATCCTAATCACCCTATCAGTGCCAAAGTGTCACACCACCTCTAGAAGACTAAAGAGGGGAGATGGGAAATCATGCTCATTTGTCTTCTGACCCCTTCACTGACAAACTGATACCCTTAGGCTTTATACACAGAAGATCCTGGATCCAAGTTCTACTGACTGAAACAAGTTCTGTTTATTCAGAAAAGTGGAAGGACTCAGGTACAATGTTGTTGTTAAGTGCTGACTAGTTGGTTCCAACTCATTGCGACTCTGTATAGGGCTTCTAAGGAGTGGCTAGTGGTGGGTTTTGCTGCCATTTTGAGGTGAGGTTAGCAGTGCTTATCCTACAGCACCACACCAGGATTCCTCAGGTGCAATAATAAGACCTGCAAATTTGTTCTTAATGTCCATTCTCAATGAACTAATTTCTAACAAACACTCTCAGAACATATAAAGTTTTACAAGTCAGTAACAGATATTATTCTCCTGGTTCTTGAAAAGGCTTTTGACCCAGACTAATGTAGGGGTCAAATTCTAGTCCACTGAATTATCAGCTTTATGTTGTGGGCTGAAGTTGTGCCCCCCTGAAAAAGAAAACACTGAAGTCTTGACCTCCTCTTCCCCCTCCTCACCTGTAAATCTGACCTTCTTTAGAAATCAGGTCTTTTCTGATGTAATCGAGTTCAGATGAAATCATAATGGATCACAGTGTGTCCCAAATCCAGTGGCTGGTTGTCCTTATAAGAAAAGGAGAATTGGAACACAGAGAGAGACAGAGAAAAACACACAGAGGAATGATGGCCGTGTGCAGAGAGAGGAAATGACTAGAGTTCTGCGGCCACAAACCAAGGGACGCCAAGGATTGCCAGCAGTCACCAGAAACTAAGAGAAGCAATGAAGAATTCTTCTTTAGAATCTTAGGAGGGACTCCTAGGCTCAGGAACTGTGAGGGAAGATACACAGTTGTGAAGAGCTACCCAGTTTGTGGTCATTTGTTATGGCAGCCCTAGGTAACTAAGACAGCAAGGTACCTTCTATCTCAGTTTCCTCCTCTAAAAAACAGGGACTAGAGACTTAGTTTTCAGGACTGCTGTAAGGAGTGAATGATGAAAACTGTTCAGAAAGGTCCCTAACACTGGCACATACTCCACCCTATTACCAGAAATTGGATCGTGTTAAACTTCTGCTTAAAGTTTTCCAGTGACTCCCTGTTATTTGCAATAAAATGCAAACTCTCTAGAATCCTTCAAGATCTGACCACTACCTACTGCTTCTTCCATGACTTCCTATCTATACTGCTGTCACAAAGTCCCCAAACTTGCCCCACACTTACACTGCCTCCCGCCTCTCAGCATGCATTCTACTTAGAATGACCTTTTACTTTATTTTCTGCCAACTATTCCCTATTCATCTTGAAAATCCAGCTCAGAAACTATCTCCTCAAAGAGGTCTTCTCTGATCTTAACCCCCTCTCCTCCCATCCTGGGCCTATCATAATTAAAGAACTGATTATTTCCTATCTTCTAACCAAATTGTGAATACCAAGAAGATGCTATATGTTTTTTATCCAAACCCCCAATAGTGAATACATAATGTTGTCGTTGTATACCACTGAGTCGATTACAACTCACAGCAATGCTATAAGGCAGAGGAGAGCTGTCCCATAGGATTTCCTAGGTTGCAATCTGTATGGGAGCAAACCATCAGTAGTCTTTTCTCCCGCGAGTGGCTGAGGAGTTTGAACCAGTGACCTCTAAGCAGCCAAGTACTTAACCATTGTGCCACCAGGGTACCTTTAATTAGTATATCCAAACCAAAAACCCCATTGCCATTGGGCCAATTCTGAGTCATGGCAACCCAGCATAGGGTTTTCAAGGCTCTAAACCTTCATGAGAACAGAGAGTGTTACCTTTCTCCCATGGAGTGGCTGGTAGGTTTAAACTGCCTACCTTGTGGTTAACAGTCCAGTACTTATCCTGCAGCACCACCAGTAGATACTTAATAAAAGCTGAATTAATAAATTATGAATTAAGACACTCAATAGAATGTATAGATCCAAACTCTGCTCCCTTTACAAGAAAAAGGTCTACCAGTCAAGAACTCATTTTGTCTTCCATTTAGTACAGGTTTCTAATGAAGAAGAATTTCAAATAGGGTTTGTGAAAAAAAATATGAGCTCTACAAGTTTCCAAGAGGGAGTTCAGTTTCAGAGTGTGCAGGAGAAGGTAGAATCCCCACTGAATTGTTTTCATCTAGTCTAGATGGGTCTGGTAAAAAGAGATGGGGATAATATTCTTATGATTCAATAGTGAGTAGTTGTTATCATAACTAATTGTGACTATCACAACTGTAAAGGTAGTTTTGTAACAAAAATGGGGAGTAGTTAATCTTACAGTCCAAGAACAGAGGACCCTAGGATCACCAAGAGAGAAGAGCACGAGCAGAATGTGGGATCCTATTCAGAGAAGCAGCGACACCAGAGATGGAGGCAGAGATGAGGACATGGAGAGAGAGAGAGCAGCTGAGGACTCTAGACTCATAGAAAGAGAAAGGCTGTGTGCTGGCAGCCAGGAGGCAGGCTTATAGAATGTGCCCTTTGATTGTTTAAATGATTATATATTCCTGAAAGTTTTTGTGTACATCCCTCCTCACCACCACCACCCCAAAAAAAAAACCCATGGAATTGAAGCAAATACTATTGAATGATGATGCATGGAGGGGATTGCAATCATTGCAATGAACGATGAGTATAAAACTATGAGAGTTCTCATATGTAAACTACCACTCAATTCACAATGAAAACATATATACATTATTAATTGAAAAAGTCATTAAGAAGACAAAAAAGAAGGAAAAGGTCAAAATGGATGTCAGAAGAGGCACTGAAACTTGCTCTCCAGCGTAGAGATGCTAAAGCAAATGGAAGAAATGAGGAGGTCCAAGAGCTGAACAGAAAATTTCAAATATCAGCTCGAGAAGATAAAGCCAAATATTACAACAAAATGTGCAAAGAGCTGGAATCAGAAATCCAAAAAGGAAGAACACACTCTGCATTTCTCAAGCTGGGGGAGCTGATGAAAAAATTCAAGTCTTAAACTTGAAGTATTAAAGGATTCTCTGGGCAAATTATTGAATGATGCAGAAAGCATCAAGAGAAGATGGAAGGAATACTCAGAGTCACTGCACCAAAAGGAAATGGTTAATGGTCAACCATTTCAAGAGGTAGCAGATGTTCAAGAGCCAATGATACTGAAGGAGGAAGTTCAAGATACATTGAAGGAACTGGCAAAGAACAAGGCACCAGAAATTGATGGAATAAAAACTGAAATCTTTCAAGAAAGTCAGGCAGCACAGGAGGCACTCACTCATCTACGCCAAGAAATTTGGAAGACGACTATCTGGCTGACTGATTGGAAGAGATCCATATTTGTGCCCATTCCAAAGAGGGGTGACCCAACAGAATGAGGAAATCATTGGACAATCTCTTTACTATACCATGCGAGTAAAGTTTTACTAAAAGTAATACAGAAACAGCTGCAAGCATATTGACAGAGAACTTCCAGAGATTCAAGCCAGATTCAGAAGAGGAAGTGGAACAAGGGATATCATTGCTGATGTCTGATGGATCTTGGCTGAAAGCAGAGAATATCAGAAAGATGTTTACCTGTGCTTTATTGACTACACAAAAGCTTTCAATTGTGTGGATCATGACACTATGGACAACACTGCGAAGTATGAGTATTCTGGAACACTTAATTGTGCTCATGAGGAATCTGTACCTGGACCATGTTCGAACAGAACATGGGAACACAGAATGGTTTGAAATTAAGAAAGGTGTGCGACAAGGTTGTATTCTTTCACCATACTTATTCAACCTGTATGATGAGCAAATAATACAAGAAGCTGGGTTCTATGAAGAAAAACGTGGCATCAGGATTGGAGGAAGACTCATTAGCAACCTGCGATATGCAGATGTTACAACCTTGCTTGCTGAAAGTGAAGAGGACTTAAAACATTTACTGATGAAGATCAAAGAGCACAGCCTTCGGTATGGATTACATCTCAATGTAAAGAAAACAAAAATCCTCACCACTGGACCAATAAACAACACTCTTTATCAACGGAAAAAAGATTGAAGTTGTCAAAGACTTCATTCTTCTTGGATCCACCATCAACACTCATGGAAGCAGCAGTCAAGAAATCAAATGCTGTATTGCATTAGGAAAATCTGCTACACAAGACCTTTTTAAAATGTTTAAGAGCAAAGATGTCAGCTTGAAGACTAAGGTGTGCCTGACCCAAGCCATGGTATTTTCAATAACCTCATATGCATGTGAAAGATGGACAGTAAATAAGGAAAACTGTAGAAGAATTGATGCTTTTGAGTTATGGTGTTGGAGGAGAATATTGAAAGTGCCATGGACTGCCAAAAGAACCAACAGATCCATGTTGGAAGAAGTGCAGCCAGAGTGCTCCTTGGAGGCCAGGATGGCCAAACTTTGTCTCTCATACTTCGGATATATTGTCAGGAGGGACCAGTCACTGGAGAAGGATATCATGTTTGGTAAGGTGGAGGGTTAGAGAAAAAGAAGAAGACCCCCAACGAGATGGATTTGCCAAGTAGCAGCATCAACAGACTCAAGCGTGGCAACAATAGTGAGGTTGGCCCAGGATAGGGCAGTGCTTCTAGTGTTTCATTCTGCTGTGCATAAGATTGCTATGAGTTGGTACTAACTCAGTGGCATTTAACAACAACTATATATATATATATATGAGCTCTTACAGCTTCATTCATATTTGAATTGTACTTACCAGGAAAGGGCTAGCTATGTTGCAGTGAAAATTCCAATAGAAGGGGAGACCAGAGAGCTCACTCCGCACCCGCAGGATCAATGCCTCTGGCACACGATAACAGGAGAAGGTAGCTTCACTAGGGTGCTCGGTGTTCTTCAACAGTGGGCGAAGAAGATCATCCAAATGAGAGAGAAAAGCTTCCGGAGGGGCAGTCAAGCGTTTGTTCAGCTCCTAGAGAAACAGCAGGCAATGCAAAGACTGAGGGTGCTACAAGGAAACAAACTCCTTTTTAAGTAATAGCAAAGAAACACTGGTTGACATAAAGGCAATGGACATGAGAAGAAAGGAATTGAAGATAAACACATCAGAACAGGACAGAAGATAAAAAGGAGTGAATGACTTATGGTATAATAGTGAATAATTGCCATCAGGACTGACTGTGAGGGTAGGAAATACAGAGGTAGCTGTTTTTTGACAAAAGGAGAGGAATGATTGATTTTGCAGCCCAGGAGAGGAGGTCCCTGGGACCATCAAATGAGAAAAGCGGAGAGCGAGAGAGACCCTACCCAGAGAAGCAGAGACTCCAGGGATGGAGACAGAGACGATGACAGGGACAGATGGAGCAGCTGAACTCAGGGACAGAGAGGGGCTGTGTGTTGACAGCCAGGGGGCGGGCCTGTGGGGTGTACCCTTTGGTTATTTGATGATACATGGAGGGGACTGTAATCTTGCAATGAAACAAAATACGATAGGATGAATGTAAAACTGATATTCTTCCATGTAAACCTCACAATAAAAACTTATAAATAAACAAAAAGGAGTGACAAAAATCAGCTAGTCTACTTAGTAATTCTGCCTAAGGCAAACTCATTTACAGACTGCCTACATAGATCAGACAATAATTTCTATATGGCAAACAGTGCAGAAAACTATAAAGACATATACACACCATAAGAAAAGACCCCAGGGCTACAGGAAAAATTGCCAGACACTAAATGGAATTGTCTCATTTTGATTCAACATTTCCCTGGCACTCTACAAGTCAACAAGCTGGTTGACTTGAATGTCCCCTGACATTCACTAGTAAAGAAATTTTATCCATCAAGACCCTCCCACCTCAAGGTCTTCTCTTCACACTTACCTTGGCTCGCTGGCTTACTACACTAGTGTCCACCTGTTCATGCCACACTTGTTGGAGATCAGAAACCAGCAATGCATAGCCATGCTTGGTGATGTAAGCCTTGGCCAACATGGAGTCCTCAGCAAGCGGTAGCCATGCCCACTGCTGCATCAACAGGCCTTGTTCTAATTCCTCCATCTGCAAGAGAGTCCTAATTTAGTAAAGGTTCAGGGAGGGTACAACTCAGACAGCTCCATAGCAACTGAACTCTTATGATCAAATAGAAGACATGGATTTATGTTCTCCACTTATAACCAGCTGAACCCCGGGCCTTTGCTGTCATTGTTCTTTGGTGCCACTGAGTTGATTCTGACATGTAGCGACCTCATGTGATAGAAGAGATCTGCCCCATAGGGTTTTCTAAGCTGCAATCTCTACAGGCACAGATCATCAAGTCTTTCTCCCAAAGAGTTGGGTGGGTTCAAGTGTCAACCTTCCAGTTAGCAGCCAGTTAGCAGCTGAGCTCTTAACTGTTTTGAGCACCAACCTTACTACCTCGGAACCACTACAAATCTATCGGGAACTTTGAGGGCTGTTTTCCCCTGGTGGTGGTGGTGGTTGTATGCCAACGAGTCGGTTCCAACTCACAGTGACTCTGTATAGGGTTTCTGAAGCTGTAAATCGTTATGGGAGCAGAAAGCCTCATCTTTCTCCCAAGAAGCAACTGTTAGATTCAAACTGCTGACCTTGTAATTGGAGCCCCGCTTGTAATCCATTATATTATGAGTGCTCCTTATATTAAGCTCCTTTGTTGTTGTTGTTGTTGTTAAGTGCTGTCAAGTTGGTTCTGACTCATGGTGGTGGTGGGTGGTTCTGTGCCATGGAGTCGATTCTGACTCATACTGACCCTGTACAGGGTTTCTGAGGCTGCAAATCTTTACAGGAGGATAAAACCTAATCTTTCTCCCATGGAACCTCTGGTAGTTTCGAACTGCTGACCTTGAGGTTAGCAGGCCGACTCGTAACCACTACGCTACCAGAGCTCCTTAGTGACCCCGTATAGTTGTCACTTGTCAGTGCTGTCAAGTTGGTTCTGACCCATAGTGACCCTGTGTAGGGTTTCCGAGGAGTGGCTGGTGAGCTTGAACTTCCGACCTTGCAGTCCAGCACTTAACCCATAGTGCCACTAGCAGGCAGAAGACTCTCTTCTATCTCATCTAAGCTTCAGCATGGTGGTATTAGTATGTCTGCTTTCTAACAACATAACAATATGGAAACCTAAACCATTCTTGTTGCATCTTTTTCATATTCCTAATATGGCAATGCTACCCATTCCCAGACATTCTAGAAAACAATAATCTTGCCTTATAAAATACCATAAATCATAAGTGTCATGAACAGGAAATCCAAATTATTTAATAATTATCTAAAAACAAAGTTCTGGAAGTTCTCAGGATTTGAAGGAAAAAAAATCCCTTAAACAGAGGTTCCTAATCTAGAATTGAAATTAGATTTCTTGTTGTTGTGTGCCATCGAGTCAGTTCCAACTCATAGCCACCCTGTATAGGATTGCCGAGGAGCAGCTGGTGAGTTTGAACCACTGACTTTGAGGTTCAAACTGATCTTGAGGTCAAGTTCTTATCTTATGGGACCTCTGAAATTATAAACAAACTTTGTGTATACTACATCTATTCATTGGGAGTAGGAAGAGACTCATAGTATTAGCAAATTCCCAAAGGGATCAATGACACACAAAAAGAGCTAGTAAACTCTATGTTCAGGAGAAAATGGAAAAGCCCCAAATCCCATTTCAATAAGAACCTAAATTTTTAGAAAGTCATACATAAAAGGCATAGCACATCACAAACGTAAACACTGAATCAATTTCCACTTAATCCATCACTAATTCCCACCCCTACCCTCACCCTTTGCTGCCACCAATACCATGCCTTGCTACAATCCCGAAACTTCTGGAAACCAATTTTTCCACATCAGCAGCTAAAGTATTAACCTTAGTCTAGCAGATGTTCAGTAACTATGGTAGCTTGACTGGAAATATGATCTTTCCTGTGGGATTAAAAAAAAAGTGATATAATTTCAGTCTATAAATACAGTGTGAGGGAAAATGCCAGAAGGAAAAAAATCTTAGGATAAATTATAGGATAAAATGTCTTGTTATGTCTGATTAACCCTGTTTTGTTCTGCCAGGCATTTTTCTCTCAGCCTACGCCATTCTTCTTCTAGACATTGCCTAGTTTTTGAAGCATGATTTTGTGAAATTACTTAATTTGCACCGTTACTAACAGGTGAAATGTAAATAGGATTTTTATTTGTAGTAGCCTCAAAACCTTGTTTGAAGGATGGGATTTCAATCGCATTTCCCATGTGCTGGTCCAATGGGCAGAGAACATCTTGGAATGATTAAGTTAGTCCTTCCATACTGCCAAAGGTCACAGTTGCAAATAAGTGGCCAAATCTTTTTGTTTCCATTATAGGTACGTGCACACACCCATTTAACTGTGTGCTAAGAGTCACCAAAACTGGGTATACTACTTCAGCGCATCAGTTTGGAATAAGCTGAAGCTCAGAACACCCAGGTTTTTGGTTTTTGGTTTTTGGTTTTTTTCCTTTGGGGGTGGGGGGGGAGAGGGAGTATTTAAAAAGTGGCCAGGGAGTTGGCTAGTTAGGAGTTGGGTACAACAACACCATTATGAAAAGTCCTGTTCTAAATCTAAATCTCATCCTTTCCATCACAACCCCCCTCAGGTGGCCTGTGACAATTCACATTACCCAGATTAATATCCTAGGGGGACGCTAAGGGGCAACAGCAGAGGTAGGAGGCGCCTGAGTGCAAGTTGTTATTTTTAAGTGCCATCAAGTCAGCTCTGTTTCATAGAGGCCTTGTACTGACAGTTTCCAAAGAGTAGCCGGTGAGTTTGAACTGTCAGCGTTAGCGGAATAAGTATCTCGCATAAGTTCTATCCCTCAGCCTGGGCCCCTCTCAAGGGCTTTGTTGTTAAGTGCCGCTGAGTCAGTTCCAACTCACAGCGACCCTGTATAGAAGTTTCAAGGTGCGGCTGGTGAGTTTGAACCACCTATGGGCCTCTCAAAGGAGCTCTGGTAGCGTAGTGGTTACGAATCGGGCTGCGAACCTTAAGGTCAGCGGTTCGAAACTACCAGCTGCTCCGCGGGAGAAAGATGAGGCTTTCTACTCCCGTAAAGATTTACACCCTCAGAAACCCTGTACAGGGTCGCTATGGGTCGGAACCGACTCGACGGCGCTTACAAACAATGGGCCTCTCAGGAGCAGTTCCTCCGATATCCTGCAGAGGGCAGTAAGACTCCAGTGACCATCAAGTGGGCCACGCCTATCCCTGGGGAGTGGACGAACCTCTGTCCACCACCACGGCCCCACCCTAGGAGCCAAGTCTTAAGTCGTTTCCCACCAATTTCATTAAAAGGTTTTTCACCATCTTCCTTTCCATTTCTGTAACACACTGCACTGAGGTGCGGCTCAGAACTTCAAAAGGTAACAACAATGGCCAAGGAATTTGCTGTTAAGTGCCATCGAGTGGCCACTGAGTCTGTTTCGACTCATAACGACCCTGTATAGGGTTTCCGAAGATGGCTGCTGGGTTTGAACCGCCACCTTGCGGTTCAACTAGACCTTGCGGTCTAGTGCTTATCCTCCAGTGCCACAAGACTCACTCAAGCCTTACAAACCACGCCTCACAGCCAGGAGACAGACTGCGCAAGCGCAGTACGCACGGTCCCGCCCATTCCAGGAGGCCTCCTCCAGAACCTCGGTCGCGCGTGGTCAGTTCTAGGAGTGAGCGCCTTCGCCGGCCCAGTCCACAGGACTTGAGGAGCAATTTGCTGCCCGGCGCAAGCCCCAGCCCCGGTCTTGACTCGGGCCCAATCGCACCTACCGTGAGCGGCCTCAAGAGCTCCCACCCTCCCCGCAGCAGCCGCCAGTGCAAATCGAAAGGCCTAGAGTAAAGGCAGACTCTTCGCCCCCCACCCCCGGAGGCGGGGCCTTGGAACGGGGGCGGAGCCCAGAGCCAACAGGGTGGGGCTTCTGGGTCCACTGAACTGTTGAAAGTTACTAACTGGCGGGCCAGCTGGGCCTGGAAAGCTAGAAGACAGAGTAGTAGGGTTCCTAAAATCACACTAACTGGAGTAGAAAGAATACGGAAGGAGGTGTAGAATAAGGGTCTCAGATTTGGATGTGTCAATAAACTCAACACCCTCCCTGCCCAGCGTCTATGAAATGAAGGGATTGAACTAAATTGTAGGTCCACTTCAGCACTAGAGGTGTTTACGGGAGGCATCTCTTAAACATAATCCCACTGAACTCCCCCTTGGCCTCTCCTGTCTCCGTTCTCCATTCCTTTCCATACTTACTATGCTCTTATCACCACAGAGAAATTTAACCCTCTCAACTTACCTAGTACTGTGTATATTGCATAGTTTTGTACAAGCTAAACCCTGAGTTCCTGAGCCTAAAAATTCACTACCACTCCCATCTTCCCCTACAGCTTGTGAAGGCCAGCCTCAGGGCCTCTTCTTTTATAATGCCTTTCCTACATCCCCCCAATCAGAATTAACTTTTACTTCCTCTTTTTTAATGTCCTTAGCTCCAACGACATTGTTTTCAACTTTATTATAGACTACCTTCTGCTCTGCATTTTAGTTCATAATCACATAGGTCTATATGTGCCTTTAGGGGATTTATTGTTAGTGCCATGGATTCTGACTCATATTGACCCTGTATAGAGTTTCTCAGGAGCAGCTGGTGGATTTGAACCACCAATCTTGCAGTTAGCAGTCCAGTGCTTATCCTACAATGCCACACCAGCACTCCTTTTGTTGTTGTTAAGTACCGTGGAGTCGGTTCCGACTCATAGTGACCCTTCACAAGGTTTCTGAGGCTGTAAATCTTTACGGGAGCAGAGAGCCTCATCTTTCTCCCACAGAACAGCTAGTAGTTTCAAACTGCCGACCTTGAGGTTAGCAGCTAAATTCGTAACCACTACACTACCAGAGCTCCTTAGCACTCCTTTAAGGGGGTTCTTTTGTTGTTGTTGAGTGCCATCAAATCCATTCAGACACAAAGCGACCCTGTGTAGGGTTTCAGAGGAACAGCTGATTGGTTTGAACTGCTGACTTTGTATTTTGCCATCCAGTGCTTATCCTACAGTGCATCAACAGGAACCCTATAAGGGGGTTGTTAGGTGCCATCAGGTTGGTTTTGACTCATAGCAACCCTGTATAGGAGTCCTGGTGTGGTGCTGTGGTTAATGAGCCAGACCACAAAACTGTTTGAACTGCAAGGTCAGTGGTTCAAGCTCACCGGCTGCTCCTCGGAAGCCCTATACAGGGTCTCTATGGATTGGAACCAACTTGACGGCACTTAACAACAACAACAACAACCCTGTAAAGGGTTCCCAAGAAGTGGCTGATGGATTTCAATCTTGTGGCTGAAACTGACCTTGTAGTCCAATGCATCATCTTACAGCTCCACACCAGAACACCAAAGAAAGAAAGAAAGGGAGTAGAGACCTTGTATTGTTCATATCTGTGGTTTCAGAACTTTGTACTTAGGAGACACCAAATATAGATTAACTGAAGAGTAGAATTTAAGTGACATTGACAATACACAGGTGAAATCTCATTTATAACCCATTGAACCACCAAAATGTCAATGGTTGGAATGGGAACCCACCAGGCTTTCTGCCAGAGAAAAAGGTGGGAAAGCTAGGACTAATTAAAAGGAAGAAAGGCACACACCTAGTTGGAAATGGGACCTCTCTGTGGGCCCAGGCTATGCACACACATACACACACATCCTCTCCCTAAGTGAAGTAGAGCCTGGGAGCTGAATTAACTAGACAGATACAGGCATCCTGGAATTACTAGAACCTATGCCGACATCAACTCAATGGCAGAAGGGTGGGTTTGGTTTTTCTGAAGCCCTTCTCTGGGATGACCAGGGCATGGCTTCCCACAGTCAGGCAGCAAGTCTGCCATCTCTTCTGGCTCAGAGGACTCTCTTTCCTCATTTCCAAGGTCCTCAGGCAGCGGGCAGAGGCAACGGAGTGGTTGGGGGATGCAGGAACACAGGTTTTGGATGAGGAGAGGAAGCTCATACTCTTGATCAGCCTTCTTTCTGGACATCTTAGGCATCCAAACCTTTTGAACAGCAAAAGGAGATGGAAGTCCTTGACCTAGGCCTCTTTCAAGCTGTGTACCTGAAAAAGAAAGGTTGGGGGTGGGGTGGGGGGAAAGAAAGAAAGAAACGTTGGTTAGGTAATTGTCTAAACCAGAGTGGCAACTTCCTAACCTAGTCTGCTACAACCTGGCATCATCTTACCAGAAATGGTGTTCTCTAGGAGGAAGCCCAAGAGTCCAGCCAGGAAGACGGGCTCTGTCAGCAGTGAGTGTAGTAGCACGTCCAAGGGACTCCAGCCTATGGGGGCCATACAGGAGGGGAACTCTGAGCCCATGCAAGGCCAGAAACTTTTCTCCTAAACCTAAGCCTTGGACTAAAGACAGTTCTTTCACCATTGTCATTCTCTCCCACCCCATCCCACTGCCTTGGCCCCTCTACTTTCCGCTTCCCACACCCAGACCCTCCACACAAGGCCCTTGCTCAACATTCTGAGGCTACACATGCCCGTTCAACATTCTGAGGATAGACACATCTTCTGAGGATACACATGTCCTCCAGATATGCTTCGTGTGCTCTAGGCTCTTTCTCTGGAAAGTTTGGTATCAAAGCCTCAGTCTTATCTCCCATTTCTTACCTTCTAAAGCTTGGTGCCTCTATAGGATAAGCGCTGGACTGTGAATCATAAGGTCAGTGTTCAAGCCCACCACTCGCTCCACAGTAAAAAGATGAGACTGTTTGCTCCCACAAAATATGCAGCTTCAGAAACCCTATATAGGGTCACTATGAGTTGGAACCAATTTGACAGCACTTAACAACAACAAGAAGCTCTAGCGTGGGTTTCTCAGCCTCAGTCCTACTGAGATTTGGGACTAGATAATTCTCTGTTGAGGAGCCCTGGTGACGCACCAGCTGCTTTGCAAGAGAAAGGTGTGACAATCTGCTTCCATGAAGATTTTCGTTGTTGTCAGTACCTTCAAGTTGGTTCTAACTCATAACGATCCTGTACAGGGTTTCCAAGGAGTGACTGGTGAGTTTGCACCAACGACCTTACGGTTCAAACCAACCTTGTGGTCTGGTGCATTATCCCTCAGCACCACACCAAGATTTACAGCCTTGAAAAACCCAATGGAGCAGTTCTATTCTGCCCTGAAGAATCACTTTGAGTCAGAATTAACAGCATAGGTAATTCTTTGTTGTCTGTCCTGTGCATAATAGGATGCATAATAGTAACACCCATCCATACTAGCCCTGTTTGTGATGGTCAAAATGTCTCCAGACATTGCCATATGTCCATCACAAACGGGGCTACTATGGGTGAGTGATGCTGGCACCTACTAGATAGACACCATAGTATGCAAAATCACCCCCAGTTGAGAACCATTGCTCTAGATACACTAAGCCACTTCCGACTTCTATAGCTTTATTTCTGATGGTTCTTCCATCAAGATGATCTTATTCTCACACAAAATATATTTTATACTTTCCTGTCCTTCAAGACCAGCTGAATGGTACTTTTGCCATGAAACCTACCTGGATCGTCTCAAGCTATCTCTTTTACCATTGAGAGCCAAACACAACACCACAAACTGCCATAGGTTTTTTTCAACTCATAATGCCCCTATAAGACAAACTTGAAAAGCCCCCATAAGGTTTCTGAGGCTGTAGATAGGGAAGCAGACTGCCTCATCTTTCTCCCACAAACTTGTTGGTGGGTTAGAACTGCCGACCTTTCAGTTAGCAGCTTAATGCTTAACCCACTGTACCATTAGGGCTCCACTGAGCATCATCGCTGATCATCTGAAATTTCTTGCTTTTTGCCCCCGACATCTTTTTTTTTTTTTTTGCTTGACTGTAACACCTAGAGGCATCTCTCTATCCCACGTGGCTAACAGAACTGTTTATTCCAGAGAAGAGTGTGAGGCCAGGCATCCAAAGATCCTGATGCATCGGGCAGGCCCTTGTTTTCCCACTTTGAGCACGTCCTCTTCCCCTTCCCACTCCTCCCACCTGTGAGGAAAAGGACCCGGGCTTCTCGAAGCCATCTTGGTAGCAGTAGAGCCATGAAAATAGAGAAGCCGACTATAAAGACATTCCGTCCCGAGTCAATGTCAGCCAAATGGAAGCTGGAGAATCCAGTAGGCAGAACCACCGCCTGGGTCACCCCCAGCACCCCACCTGTATGGAAGAAATGCAAGGGGTTGGGAGAGAAGAGGTGCAGCAGAGAGTAGTGCCAGGTTGGACAAGTGTGGGGGAAGGGATGAAACAACCAAAAGACTTGTTTCTGATTCTGTAACGAGCCCAGAAATCAGTCAAGAGGCCAGTTACTGGGCTGAGAAAATGAAGGTACATGACACACACTCGTATCCATCATCCAGGGAGGATATTTAGAAAGCAATGGTGCCAGCCATAAACAACTGGTTGGCCCATACTGGTGGATAGGGGCTCCACAGCTGACCTGCCGCTGCAGCCACTCACCGAGCACAGGCAACGGGATGGTGGTGAGAAGCTGGGTCAGCCTGGGGGAGAGTCCGAGCCCCATGCAGAACAGTCCCACCAAGTGGGCAACTCTCCGGGATCCAGCCTAATGAAGAAGTTGTTGTGGGTGTTAAGTGTCATCAGGTCGGTTTCAACTCATAGCAACCCTGTATAGCATTTCCTAGGAGCAACTGGTGGGTTCAAACTGCCAACCTTGTAGTTAGAAGTCCATTGTTTACACCAGGACTCCTAGTGAAGAAGAGGCACTAGAAAACACAGCTACCTTCTTGGACTCTTTACTTGACCAGCTCCTTCTCAGTCAGAACCCAACTCAAATGGCACCTCCTCCAAGAAGTACGCCTAGTGGTTCTATCTAAGAGTTCCTTCTCTGCTGTCTTAGCAGAATTTCTCACTCTCTGAAATTCTTGGTGTTAATTGTCTGCCTCTCCTTCACTGAAGTCCTCCAAAAGGACAGGGACTGTGTCTGACTGTTCTCTGGAGCGCTGGCCTTCTGATGCGTAGAAGGACTTCAGTAACGCTGTTGCGTCTTCTCCACACTCCCAGTACACCACTCCTATGCACTTTCCTTGATGAGACTAGTGTGAAGTGCCTGGCAGAGTGGTAGGCACAGCTGGCAATCCGTGTGAGTTTCCTTCCCTTGCCTGTACCTCCAACTCCCCCCATCCTGTGTGTCTGAAGACCATACCTGGGTAAGGCTCACTGTGCCCACATTGGGAAAGCTGGATGCAGTGCCCATAGGACTCCCAAGTAGCCCAGCCAACACACTGCCTAGACCCTCCAAGCTCAACCCTCGACTGCAGGCATGAGAAGGTGGTGAAGGCAGACGCAGGAGCCAGCCACATAGAGCATAGCAGCCCAGGGAACTGGTGGAGGCGGCCAGGGCCATGGAGATGCCTGCAGCCAGAGCCCTGGGCGTCAGCAACGGCCAGTCCCACTCACCTGGGAAAGGAGAAAGAGCTGCTGTGGATCCTAATTTAAGTCTGCAGCATCCCCCAGCTTTCATTCTTCTTTGCCACAAGAATCCTAGCTGCCCCATTGTCTTTGAATAATGTCTTAGAACCAAACCACTGACCTCTCAGGATAAAGATCTATCTCTTTGGTCTACAGAGTCTACTTTGATCCTTACCTCTCTCCAACCTCATCTCCCAATACCCTCTAGCTCACTTGCTTCACTTCACATACACTGGCTTTGTTTCAGGCTTTTGGACTTGTTGTGTTCCCTCTTACCACAAATCCTCTGCATGTACTGTTCTCGCTATCTAGAATGTTCTTCTCTCCTGCCTTCATCCACTCATCTCTCGTGTTTCAGCTCAGTGATGACTCCTCAAAAATGCCTTTTGTGCCTTTCCTTGATGAAGTCAAATTCCCCCATAAACTCTCATCATACAAATAGGCCACCCCAATATTACACTTAGCACAATTGCAGTTTTACATTTACTTGGGTGACTAATTCATATCTGTATTCCCCAAGAAACTATAATACGGTGTCATCACTGTGTCCCCTGTCACTTGCCTTGTTCAGAGTCAGCACTCAATATAGGTCTTTATTGAGTTAATGAATGAACAGATTTCACATACAAGGCCTTATACGTAGCTCACCAAGTCAAATACCTATATGAGTTGGTAGCATAAATGTGTAAATTGGGTAAGAAATATCAGTAGTAGGGAATGGGAGATGGGCAGAAACTAGGGTTTTTTTTAAATGTTGACCAAAAAAAACCACCTAGGATGAGGAGCCAGAATTAACCCTCAAGTTGACAATGGTCCTTTCCTACTAGTATTATTATTTTTTATTGTAATTAACATATATTTAACAAAACATTTGACATTTCAACAACCTTCACATGTACAGTCCAGTGTCGTTATGGTCATCATGTTGTTCAACCATCACCTTTACCTGTTTCCGAATTCTATCATCACTCTTAACAGAAGCTCAGCGCCCCTTCCTACATGCTTTGAGAAAACACAGGATTTAACTCAGAGAAGAAACCTATGAAATCTTGAGTTCCAATAAACAAACAGCCTTATGTGAATGATAGGATGAAGGATTCAAAAACCTACCTGGGTGAGGCAGCCAAAACCACGGTGCCTCAGTAGGGGCAGACAGCTCCAGGGGGGTAGCGCTAAGACCCAGAACAGCCGAGACAATCCACACACAGGCCACAGGGATCAGCACCTGAAGGGTAAAACGGGCAGAAAAGAGCCTGTCTCCCAGAACCTTCCAAACCAGCGTTGGAGGGATAGACAGAAGCCAAAAGGGTCTTCCCTGTCAGCCCCTCCAACCTTGCTTTCCTTGCCTGGCCCCCACATACCGAGAGGAGCCGGAAGGCAGGGATGTGAGCGGAAATTGGAGATGCTGAAGCTGACCTCCAGGGGCATGGGGGTAACAGGCAGGAGCCCAGGTGCTGAGAACAGACCACCATGAGCAGGATAAGCCTAGGACAGAGAAGGACCTTTTGGGGCAAGACGAAGCAGCATTCCGAAGGGTGTTAGTGCAAGTCACGTCGACAGAGTACCATAAAAGGGGGTCTTAGAGAAGGAAACCTCTGCAGGAGGGGTAGGAGGGGCACTTGGGGGACAACAAAAGGCAGCATGAAAGTCAGATGGAGGGAAAGTCTTGGATTCAAAATCCAGGAAGTGTTGTCCTACTCAGATGGCTGGTGAATGTGACAAGGCCCAGCAGTTCCACCTTCCCCAAGTCCTACAACCGCCTCCCCCCACCCCCGTCACCATTCCACACCTCTCAGGACTCACGTACAGCAAGGCCAGGCCCCAGTGAGCAGAGCAGAACAGGGCCACCTCCCTGTGAGCAGAAAGGCCTGCCACAACCAGGCCAGGGGCCAAGACCAGGGGCCCACAGTGCGGGAACAAACGGCCAGGGCCCCCCAACACTCCCAGTGTGCCCTGAAACAGCCCGGATACCACCACTGCTCCGGACACCTGGGAGAGTGAAGGAGAGACATACTGCTCAGTCAACCTGGACCTCCTAACGAATCCCAATGACAGGTCTCCACTGCAGCATCTCAGTCCCAATCCCCCACCTAAGCCTATCTGCTTCCTAGAATCTCACCTCTCGGAGAGAAGTATTCCCGAGCTCCAGGCCATAGCAGCCAGGCCCCTCACACTGGTGCAGCACGAGGGAGGCTTGGGGCACAGAGAGGAGAAAGGTGGGTGAGAAGGAGCCCTACGGCATTACGTTCCTAACTGGTGCCTGGTTCAGCTCCAAGGCCCTTCCAGTACCTAGAAGTCCCACCATTACCCAACCTCACTCCTGCCCCCACCTCATGTATATGAACAGATTAGCAGCCAAGCCACCCTCAGCCCTTATCCTTGCTCTGTGCTCACAGTTCCCAGGTGTCCGGATGCTCATAGGTAGTTTCTGGCTGGTCAGCACCAGAGCAGGGATAAGGTACTCGAAAGATGGGGCTTGAACAAGAGGCAGTCTGTAGGGACAACAGTGCTGACAGGTCTGGACTCATATGGCAGCCACCAGGACTCCCCCCAGCCTCTCTTCTCCTCCAGGACCATAAATAACTCCCCTCTCTCCAGGGAGGTGCCCTCACCTGCTGCCCATCCAAACTTGCAAGGCAGTCGACACACCACTTGAAAAGAGGCTGGCTGCCAGGAGCTGAGCAGGGGAGGAAGAGAGTCCCCCTGGGGGAAGACTGCGCAGGAGAAGCAGGTGGGAGACACAGAGCAGAGAAGCCAGAACAAGGATATGCTGTAGGGAGAGGCCACATAGTCCTCAGACACGTACTTCTCCCAGGAAATACCAATTTCCAGATTTCTCATGCCACATCTGTCCCCCACAGGCCCCATCACCACCAAACACCCCTTCAACCAACATAAACTCCTGCAACTCTGCCTCCTACCTGCACAGCCAGAAGACAGCTGAAGCCCCAGGGAGGAGGCCCACCCAGAGAGGCCCAAGAGGGGGACAAGGGACTCTGAGGAGCAGGTGGTGGTGGCCGGAGAGTCAGGGCATCTTGGGAGCCCACAGATGGGAGTAGACTGGGATGTGGGGGTGATCGGCTCATGCTGCCCTGGCCTCTGTCTCGTCTTGGTTGCCCTGGGCCAAATGTAAGTAGAGAATAAGAGGTCAGAGTTTGGGTGGAGTTAGCCACCTGAGGTGAGAAGGGGGTGGAGGTATCAATGAAGCGAAGCCAAGCTGAGGATTGAGGGATTTGGGGCAGGACATGGCCCTTTCACCTTTGCCCAGTTCTTATGCAAACTCCATCACCCATTAACCCAGGGAGTCAAGTTCTAGACCCCTCCCCCAAGAAGCTTCATTCAGATCCCCTACTCAGAGACCAGGCTCTGGAAAGTAGGATACGACAGTTAGGGTATCTACCAAAACAACCTGGGAGACTTAGTATACTGTATTCTCTTCTGAACACCATTTAGACCTGTCACTATTATATGCATGGTACTGAACCCTCTCAAGATCAAACCCCCTCGACTATGTCAAAATGAAATTCAAGAATAATATGTATCTAATGTCACATACAATGACAGCAACCACCACTCCACAAAATGGCCTCATACCAAGAAGTCATTTAAAATATGCATCTGGATATGTAAAAGCATGGGCACAAACCAGCAAACAAAGTAGTCCAATCCTCATGTGGGAGTCCTGGTGTGGTGCTGTAGGATTAGCACTGGATTTGAGTTCAAACCTAACAGGCACTCCTCAGAAACCCTTTAGTGTCCCTATGAGTAGGAACCAACTCACAACACTTACCATGATAATGAATAAATCCCCGTACATACGTACCACTATAAATATGAAAACACAGAGGTCCAGATACAGGTGCTTTATTGGTGACTCAGATAGCAGTCCCACTGTTGGTGACCTCTTTTTCCAAAGTGATAAACTCTCCGTAAAGTGCTTAACAAAACAATACTGTTTTGTCTTCTTTTACATGGAAGTCCATTCCCAAATAATGAGTCTTTTTTCAAAACATGCAAAATTGATTTCCATTTGCATGCAAAATGGAGGTAGTGCTAGACTCAGAGAAACAGGTTTTTTACACACATTGTCCAGCAGGACATTCAAAAGTCATCTTGGGAATTCTTTAGAGAGAGGGAAGGAGCGCTGGAGGCAGGTTCTAAGCATGATGGGAAAGGAGCTCTGGTAGCATAGTGGTTACGAATCGGTCTTCGAACCTCAAGGTCAGCAATTCGAAACTACCAGCTGTTCCATGGGAGAAAGATGAGACGTTCTGCTCCCGTAAAGATTTATAGCCTCGGAAACCCTGTACAGGGTCACTATGAGTCGGAACCAACTCCATGGCACACAGCCACCAGCATGATGGGAGTTGGTCTTTGGTTGAGCACCCTCCTGGGGCTGACAAAATGGCCATGTTGTTATTGAATCTTTCCAGGAACAGAAAGGCTCATCTTTCTCCCGAGGAGTGGCTGGTGGATTTGAACTGTTGACCTTGTGGTTATAGATCAACATGTAACCTACCACCAGGATTCCCTAAATATCTGTTGATGCTTTTAAGTGCTATAGAGTCGGTTCTGACTCATTATTGTTGCTAAATGCCATCAAGTCGGTCCCAACTCATAGCAACTCTGTATAGGGTTTCCAGGAGCTTCTGGCAGGCTTGAATCCCTTTCCATAAGCCATCAGTGCTTTTTTCCTACAGCATTCCCTCAAATCCTTGCGGCAACCAAAATGTGGCCCCATCAATTTCCAAAATGCCCCCTAGGGGGCAGTATCACTCCTGTTGTAGATCATCTTCCAAACCCTTTGTCAATGGTTTGACACATGGAGGTCTTTGTGAGGAGAGTAGAACTAATCCAGTGTTTCCTAGGCTGCCATATCTTTCTGAGCAGCTGGTGGGTTCAAACCACCAACATTTTGATTTGCAGCCAATGGCTTTAATCACTGTACCACCAGGGCGCTTCTAGGTCATCTTGTGCAGTTCCAAATATTCAGCCCAATGGCATAGAACAACTGTTTTCCTTTTTCCAGTAATAACCCAAACTTGAAGTTCTTTTACCATTATATACTCCTCTACTGCTTGTCAGGACAGAAAGGAAGTCAGGACAGATAGCATCACGATTGCCCACAAGCTGTTGGGGCTCTGATGATACACACCACTTGGCATCTCTCCTGAAGACATGCTATATGATCCACAAGGACATCATGCAACAGGGCCAACCCAAGCATATTGTCACCATTTGTGTCCCCAGCACCCTAACTTAAGCAATGCTGTGGTCCCAGTGTGCTAGGAGCAGGGATAAGGGCTGTTTGAAACAGGAGCAACTGACGATAGGGATGTTCTGAAAAGGGGCTCAGAGAAAACAAATTGCATTTTGGGATCAGGAAGTAAGGAGGCTTAGAAAGAAGATCCTGAAAGATCTTCCAGGGCGGCCCTAGAAGGAAAGAGTCCAAGCCATGCAATTGAAACTATTTATTGAAACTTCAGTTCTACGAAAGCATGAAAAACCCAGATACAAAGCAGCGGCCAGAGAAGCCTGTGAAAAGAACACCGAGAGAGGAACCAGGAGAGGGAAGCCTCGGAGCAGGGCACTGTGAAGGTGGAAGACAAAAGATCCAAGGTGGAAGGTCCCAGCAGTCCCTGGCTCCATCAGACTGTACCCAAGGGTTGGGCATGGAGAGGGTTCTCCTTATCACCAGCCCTCCCTTAGCAGCACCCAGCTCAGCCCTATCAGTCCCCAACTCTCCTACCACAGAGACACCACACAGACCCTGGCTAACCCATCCTCCTTTCCTCCCCCTACTTACCCCATTCCCTACCTTTACCCTCCCACTCTATAGAGAACTCAAATACAAGTCTAGAAAAGCCTCAGGGAGGTGGACAGACAGGGACTTCCCCTCTGTCGATCTGTGACATGACCTGGGTCACTGAGCTGAAGCTTTCCCAGGCACGGTCACTGTCCCAGCCAAGCAAGCAGCCAGTGAGGTCTGAAAGGGCCTTCTGTCATCTGCCCCACAAGCCCATCAGCTCCAGCGAAACAAGGGACCAGCTAAAGACCCAGAGAGGTAGAGAGAATATAAATCAAGCCTGGCTCCTCCAGGTTCTCAGGGACTACCCAAGTCCTCTTAAGGCATTCTTCAGAGCCCTACCTAGCTGGGGAAAATGAAAGACTTGAGACGGGCCAACTCCATGATGCTGAAGAGGGAACATTGCTGGGGCTGGGAGAGTGGAGGGGGCATCGGGCTCCAAGGCCAAGGGGGAACCAGGCCATGGGTGTGGTGCCAGGAGCTAGGAGACCCCGCAGAGATCGTATGGTTGGGCTGGTGGCAGGCACGGCAGGTTGGGGAGTCTCTCCGAAGCTTCTGGCAAAGGGGGCAGTTGTGGAGACGAGTGGGAGGGGCAGGAGGGTCTGGGGGAGGCAGTGATGGAGGAGTCAGGGAGGTCAAAAGATTTCCCCAGAGTGAACGCAGCCCTGTGTCCCCCTCTAGGCAGACGGAGATATTAGCCAGAGGCGGCAGGCACTGTGGCGCAGGAGAAGCTATGCAGGGCTCCAAGAGGCACCCAGAGGAGAGTCCAAGGTCGGGGGGTCCAGGTGAAGGGCTGCAGGATAGCCCTAAGGACTGGTGTATTACAGCCACTGATGCCACAGCCAGGGCCATGCTGCTCACGTACGCCATGGCTAACAGGCAGGACAGCTGCAGGAGGATGGAAAAGGTTAGCACCTACATACTTGGGAGTACTTTCCCCCCACCCATAAAAGTATTGCTTACTGTAACTAACATACCTACTCCTAGTCTTTATAATCTTAGGTTCATGTTAGAGCACTCCAGCCATCTGACCCACCCTTACCCCACTCCTCCTGAAGCCCATCTACCAGCCCTCTCAAGCCCCATCACTCCTCACCTTTGCCAGGTGCTGGCAGAGGGAGCCCAGGGCCAGCTGCCAGACAGGCTGCTCCAGCAGCACACACAGGTCTGTGTAGGTGTACCAGCCCCGCCGTTGCCCCTGTTGTTCAGCCACACTGGCGGGAAGGGAAGAAAGACAGAGAATCCACAACGTCTCTGGGGCCAGCCCAACAGCACCCTCCTACCGTGGGAACCCTTAGCAGGTCCTCAGGAACCACTCAAAAATACTGGGGAGGAGCTTGGTAAATGTACAGATTCCTAGACTATCTGTTGAGTCAAAAATCAAGAGCAAAAGCCCCAAAATTTATACATTAAATCAACTTCTCCTGCTCCCACCCTCCCAGAGATGATTATGAAAAGGTTTGGGAACCACCACCTTGAACAATTCTATTCCTTGTCTCCTCCCACCCCATTACAGACACCTTCATTTCTAGCTGTCATAGTTTAGGTGTCAGCCTCCAAATCCCTCAAGCCCCCTTCCCCAACACCTAGAACCTACCAACTCTCCAGCCAGCTCAGCACCTCAAAGATCTCCCGAGGGTCAGTGTAGAGACGCCAATCCTGTAGGTAGAATATATGGGACTTGGAGATGAGCCACAGTCACATGACAAGAGTAACCACAACAACTACCACCTTATACTTAGTTGTCAACTACTGTGTGCTAGACTTCATTCCAAATTCTTTTATGTAGCCACTCATTTAATCACTATCTATCTGGTGTCCTATCATATACTCCTTTAATGTTGTCTTTAAGTGCCGTGGAGTCACTTCCGACTCACAGGGACCCTGTGCACGGTTTCCAAGGAATAGCTGGTGGGTTTGAATTGCTGACTTTGTGGTTTGCAGTGCTATTCCTACAGCGCCACACCAGGAGTCCCTTTAATGGCAAGGGTTCAAAATGACCCAGAGCATAGTCTGTGCCCACAGGGAGCTCAATGTTGATGGGACAGAGAAAGTCTGGAAGCAAATCATCAGAAACAAGCACTGACTCAGAGTGTACAAGTACTGTGGGGACCTAGAGGGCCAGAGGAACCACCACAGTCTTCGCTTTACAACTACAGGAACTTCCCAGGGCCATGGTTAATACAGAAAGTCTGGGAATACAGAAAGGTTGGGAAGGGAAGATACAAAGAGGGACAGGCAGGAAGAGAAATGAAGAAACAGCAGCAGGCTGAGAGAAAGAAAAAAAACAATGAATACAGAACAAGAGAGAGAAAGCACTGCTTACCATGGCACTCAGGAAGCTCCTCTCCAGGGCATTGAGAGTGGGCACAGCCACACCCCCAGCAGCTCCCCACTCATCGTTGAAGACTTCCTCCTCTTCCCCTTCATCATAGAGGTACTTACTGGCCACCATCTGCACAGGAAGCAGAGGAGTTACCATAACTTTCACACCCAGCTCCGGGCTCACCAAGGAGAAGGGGAGAAGGGGCGTCTTACCATGGAGATCAAGAACAAGTCAGAGGACGACACATGCTGGAGGTAGTCTGGATTTCGGTGCCGAAGCCGCTCAATGTACACCAAGGCTAGCATCATTGCACACGGGGAAATGCATGCCTCCCTGGGTGGTGGAAAGAATCCATAATTAAACCCAAGGGGCTTTTAGTTCCTGCAACCCTTCTGATGCTCACCCCTGTGTCTTTACATCTTTTCTGTAGTAATAACCACTCCCCTCTTTCTAGAACCCAAGTGATCTCATATTGTCCTCAACAGCAGGCTCACCGGGACACATGAGCTACATATTTCTTCTGGAGGCGGCGAATAGGGCTGGGGGCTGCCTTCTGGAGCAGTTCCACAGCAATGTCTGACGAGGTAGAAGGAAAGCAGAGTAAACAACCCCGCCCCAAACACACACACACACACACACACACACACACACATTCCCTACTAGTAACAGCAGAAGACCCAGCTCAATATTAGTTGAGGCCTTGGGAACAGGCCCATAGTAGCAAAATAGCAAATTCTCCCACACTGAGACAAAATGTCATTTCAAGTTTGAATTTCAGCTCCTTCCAACAGGAAGGTTTATTTCCCATTCACCTGAAATTATTTAGAATAAAGGTACCTTGTTTATTTTGAAGATATTCGATAGATGTCCATGAAAATGTAACAGTTTAGTTAAAATGAAAAGTTTCTGACACACAAAGTGATGCAGATTTGTGAGTTGCACCTTGGGACTAAAAGAATATATGAAACATAAACCAAGTTCTTGAACCAAATATCCACTTGTAGGAAGACGGTGCAATTCGCCAAGTAAACCTACAGTCATCTTGGTGACTGCTGACAACCAACCCCATTGTCACGCTTCTCCCTCACAGCAAACAACTCTGCCTAACCTGCCACAGGGCTGGAGAGCTCCTCCAGGTTGCAGTCGGCCTCCCAGTCCCAGCCATAGTAGAGTCTCCTTCGGAGCCGTGCACTCAGCTTCTGATGTCCTGGGAGGAACTGAAAGTGGGCAAGAAGGTGGTGAAGGGTGAAGGGCAAGGAAGGGTACGATGGAGATCCTGGCTCAGAAGTGGGAAGGGGTTGCGGAGCGGGAGATCCGCCACACTGCCAATAGGCCCCTACCCCACCAGGCCCCGAGTTCTTGATTTGCCAAAGGCAGCATGGTCCAGAGGGGGCGGAATCCTCTCCAACAAGGGTTCCCGGGGAGAGGTCCTTTGAAAAGGGTTCCCGGTGAGGTCACTCCATCCCCACCCCGGGGACCTCCCTCAGGGCCCAAGAGCCAGGGCCTCGAGTAGGCACAGCCGGAGCGGCTGCCGCTCATCTTAAGCGAGATCGTGGTTCTGCTTGGGCCCGAAAGAGAGCGCTTGGGTCCCGACTCCTAGCACCCGGAGATTGGGGAGGTGCGCTCACCGTGAAGTCCTGGAAGCCGGAGAGGGAGAAGGTGCCTTCTTCATCCAGAAGGAGCCCGGCCAGGTCCATCGTGCCGTCAGCCGCCGTTCTGCGAAGGAGAAAGGCTAGAGGACAAGGCGTAAGGGGCCAGGAGCCGCCCCAGCAGGTTTTCCACCAGCCCGCCTGCCTCCCGAGTGTATGTAGACCCCTCCTCTGCCGCTGGCGGCAGGCGGAGCCCTGGCGGGCCAGCGCCTCTTCCTGTTCCGCCACGGGAGGGGCAAGGGGCCCCGGGGCTCGGAGGCCGGGAGCCCAGCGCGGAGCTCACCTCCCGGAGTTAAGACCCGGTTGTGAAACGTACATTCAGCCTATGGCGCGCAGCGCGTCTGTCCAGTGTTTACAAGCCTTTGAGGGAGTCGCTGGAGAGTCAGCGCTCGGCACTTCCTGCCGCACGATCGATCGACCGATCCCAGCCACTGGTCCCAACCTCCAGCGTCGAATACCTGGGCTCACTGGGTTCCTGGGAAAGTCACAGAGTCGAGCCCAGGATGCCCTCATCCGAGAAATGACAATTCCTAGAGGACCATGCTATGTCGCACTGAAATTGGACGCGGCAGGCCATTTCGTACTGATGTAATTAGTATGAAGTAAACAGCGAGTTGTTCTGTTTTTTAAAGGGGGAGCTTCACACACACAGCAACATGCACAGAAACATCTGAAAGGAGACCACAAGACACGTTTAATGGGTGAACTGTGGACAAGATTGGAAGGAAACAACTTTAGTGTAGTTTTGCTAAACTTATTGTATGTTTTTGTAAGGTTATTTAAAGGATTAAATAATCAGGAGGGAATATAAAGCATCTGATTATGTTGTAAATCTCAGTGATATGAACACTCCCCCCTCAAAAAAAATGTAAATAGCATCTAAACTAGGCTTTACTTTAAAACTCGTTCATCCTCAAAACTCATGCGTAAGGAGAAAGAAGGAATTCCGATGCTTGTAGCAGTAAAGTGATTTACAGAAATAAATGGGGAAGAAACAAACTTCTGAGTTAGGGGAAGCTGGGTTTGAGTCTGCCGAGTCACGCGCGGGTGTTTGTTTATCCTCTGAGAAGTGGTAACAGGAACTGGGCGGACGAGTGCGTCGAGGACTGAGTAATGTGAGGGTTACCGCCCAATCCGGAGCAGAGACGATCCTACCGGGGATCCTGGGGTTCCTGACCCTCGGATTGGAATCACACCAGGGATACCGCTAACAACAGAGTCCCTAGCCGCCCTGCCTACACAGGGAGACAAAAGGGACTGTGGTGAGGAAAACACGAATACATCCGCCAAGCTAAACCACACAGCGGCCCGAACCTACACCTCTGGTCACGACTTCAGCATCCGGAACACGCACCTGCGTAGGCGCGAGGGTCACCCGCAGCCGGCTTGCGCGCAGGCGCTGGCCTCCCTATCCCGGCGGTTAAGTCACGTCACGTGATGGGCTTGTCGTTCCACCGTCACGTGACGCCCGTCCACGGCCTGGGCTGCACTCTCCGAGGCGTGCGCCCCCTTCCGCTTGATGCGCCGGCGGCGGCGGCCGCGCAGCCCTGGCTCCTAGTGGGCTCGGGCGGCGGCTGTGGTTGGGTGATGGCGAGCGGCGGTGGTGGTGGTAACGCTGGCGTGGGTGGAGGCCCGGGGCTAGGCCTGAACCTCGGCCTGGGCCTGGGTCTGAGCCTCGGCATGAGTGAGGCCACCGGCGAGGCGGAGGAGGAGGCGGCCACGGCCGAGGCGGTGGGACGCCTAGCCACGACGTTGTGGCTGCGGCTCCGCGGATGGGAGCCGGTGCTGGCGGCGGCACAGCGCTTGCTAGTGTGGGAAAAGCCGTTGCACAGCCTGATCACGGCGGCCGCGCTCAACGGCCTCTTCTGGTAACGGCCGCGGAGGCGGGGGCGGGGCCGGTTGCGCGGGAGAGCGGGGGCGGGAGGTACCGGGAGTACCATTCCCCTTTCTGAGGGGCTTGTCACTAGGCCTGGAGGGGGATGACTTATCCCCCACTCTTTAAGGACAGAAACCTGCCTGGGGTTCCCTATTCCCTTACGTTTGAGTCGCGGTGGAGTCAAGCCTGGAGGTTCCCGTTCCCCAGCAGTGGACTCTTAAGCCTTTTGCGATGGATCTAGAGGCTCACTTCCCCTTATCGCTGAGGTGCCTGTCTTTCCCCAAGGTTGCTGTCTTCGTCTTCCCTCCGGCCCTTCTTCCTACTCAGCATCTCACTTTTGGCCTATCTTCTGCTGGATCTCTGGCAGCCCCGTTTCCTCCCTGAAGTCCCAGGTGAGTGTTTTTTTTCATTTAGCAAGCACCTATTGTGCACTTATCTTGTGCCTGACCGTACCTGATGGGGCATGTGTTGCAGGCCACCCTTCTCCCAGGCAGTAACCTTCTTCCAGTGAGAAGACAGAATTGCTTTTCTCAAATTCACGTTACTCTTGGTGCAGCCAGATGGCCTACGTTCCATTCTCTGCTTTACCCCTTTCCTAGTGTGTGACCTGTTTAAGTCCGTGAATCACTCTTTTATGCCTCCGTTTCCACCTCTGTAAAATAAGGATGATAAAATCTACTTGAAGGAAGTTGGGGATTAACTGAGTTAATACACATATGTTACATGTTTATAGGAATTACATAAATGTTAGCTCTTTATTTTCTTGTTAACTATTTACTCAGTAGGCATTTTGGAGCAACTAGGTACTAGTTAGTGTGCAGCGAGTTGTTTGTGATGTAAATACCAACAAGAAGTTCTTGTGTTTGAAAAGGGTAAAGTTTAAAGATGATACAGATGTGCAAACAACAGTAACAATGTCTTAATTCCTGTGGTTGCTATCTGAAGAAACTGCTCTGGGACTTACAGGAGGAGCAACTAATTCTGCTTTGGGAAGTATCTCCCAGGCCCCTTCCCACTCAATAATTTGTCCCCATCCTCTCTCCATAGCATCATCCCCAGATGAGCCACACTCTGACAGGTGAGTAAGGACCACCTTATGAAGATATGCCCAAATCCTGCCTCCCTTGTTGATGCAGTTTTACATAGAGCAGGAGCAGAACTATTGATTCTGTAGACAGACTCCAGTCCAGTGAATGGGCTGGTAACAAGCCACTGAGTTTGCTTGGTCAAAGGTTTGTGTGTGGGTGTTTGTGTGCCTGTTCCTTTTAGGGCAAAGGGCTGGTGTTCTAGGTTTTGCTTCCCAGGATCAGGACAGTCAACTGTTTGGAGGTGGGGGTTTTCACTTCCTTAGACTGAACACCCCATTGGCATTCTCAGAGAGATTTGAGTGTCTAGAAAACCGGTGTCTGAGGCCTCCAGGGATCATGTCATGTCTCCCCAGTGAGGGTGCGGGGTCAGGCGCCCGGCCGCACCTGCTGAGTGTGCCCGAGTTGTGCAGATACCTGGCTGAGAGCTGGCTCACCTTCCAGATTCACCTTCAGGAGCTGCTGCAGTACAAGAGACAGAATCCAGCTCAGGTAACAGCCTCTGTGTCATACAGCAGCTCCCTGCACTGTGGAGGGGTGTGGAGGAGTGATAGTGAAGGAAAAGACTTGACTGCTTGCGTGAGGCCACAGTGACAGCAAATAACCTAGTATGGGATGCAAGCGCATCCTGGGAAATCAGCTGATGTTCTGAAACAACTTTCTGCCTAGTAGTAGTTACTGCTTAGCAGTAGTTACTACAGATATCCTGAAGCGGTGGTCTTGGGCATCCTATTGATTAGACTGGATCACAGGAGTTCTAGAGGGCACGTCTGTCCTTCTACCTGCTGGGTCCTCCCACACCCAGATGAGTGGAGCGTATGTGTCAGCCCCCAGCTCTTCTCTGTCTTTGTTCTTTTCTGCAGTTCTGTGCTCGAGTCTGCTCTGGCTGCGCTGTGCTGGCGGTGCTGGGACACTATGTTCCGGGGATCATGATTTCCTACATTGTCTGTGAGTGAGGTCTAGCCCCTGCCCTTCCTAAAGCCCTCTCATTGTCTTCTTTCCTTGGTTAACCCAGAAGGAGGACTGTGCTCTTTCTCTGCTCACTTACCCATTAACAGAGGTTTCCTGGGCTGCTGTAGTATTAGCAAGGAGGGAAGAGTTGTCTGCTGGATGTGGAGGGAGGAGCTCAGCCCAGCTTGGGAAACAGGCCTCCTCTTTCTTCTGCCCTTTTGTCTTTCAACCTGCATAGGGGCCGGTTGAATGAGAGATCTCAGGGCATTGATGTAGGGAGCATTAAGCACTCTCTAATCCGTAGTGCTGAGTATCCTGCTGTGGCCCCTGGTGGTTTATCATGAGTTGATCCAGAGGATGTACACACGCTTGGAACCCCTGCTTATGCAGCTGGACTACAGCATGAAGGCAGAAGCAGACGCTTTGCATCACAAACACGACAAGAGGAGTAAGGAGCTCCCTTACCTCAGGAGGGCCACAGCGGGGGAGGGCCTTGGCTTACAGCATGTGCCCGGGAATTTAGGTTATTTTCCTGTCCCTTGACTCTGCTTGTCCCCCACCCCTGTTCCTGCTTGGTCACTGCCTTTCTGCTCATGCCTTCTCTAGAGCGGCAGGGGAAAAACGGACCCCCAGGAGATGATGAACCACTGGCAGAGACCGAGAGTGAAAGCGAGGCAGAATTGGCTGGCTTCTCCCCAGTGGTGAGACCCAGGGGGATGGAGGAGGGATGGAGAAGGTATTTCTCCTTTCAAGTTGCCACCTTTTACAGTAGTGGGAGGCAGAGACCAGGAGGCAGGAATAACGGAGCATCCTGGGAATTTTTCTCTTACCCACTCCCTTGCCATGTTCATCCTGGTTCCTCTGCAGGTGGATGTGAAGAAAACAGCACTGGCCTTGGCCATTACAGACTCCGAGTTATCAGACGAGGAGGCTTCTATCTTGGAGAGTGGTGGCTTCTCTGTATCCCGGGCCACAACTCCACAACTGACTGATGTCTCTGAGGGTATGGGGAGCCCTCTGCCCCTCCTGACCGCCCTTTTCCCTGTTGTAGGACATTGGTTGTGCTCTTTGATCCCCTTCTCTATAAACATTCTCTCCAGAGAACTGGGCCTCTAATTCATGAAGGACCTCAACACCAGGCCTGGCCTAGCAGTCTGTTAATCTGAGGTTCTCATCCAAAACCCAGCCCGTTCCTGACCATTTCTTCTCTGCACAGATTTGGACCAACAGAGCCTGCCAAGTGAACCAGAGGAGTCCCTGAACCGAGAGCTAGGGGAGGGAGAGGAGGCAGAGCTGGCCCCTCCTGAAGAGCTGCTGGCCTCCCCTCAGGCCCTCTCAAGGCCGGCCCAGGACTCAGAAGAGGAAGATGGGGCAGCTAAGGAATCCTTGCTTCAACTCTCCTCTCCCCTTCACTTTGTGAACACACACTTCAATGGGGCAGGATCCCCCACAGATGGGGTGAAGTGCCCTCTGGGGGGAACAGTGGAGACGCTGAGCCCAGAGGCAGTGAGTGGTGACCTGCCCACTCTGCCCAGCATCCCATCACCCCCACCTTGCTTAGCTGAGAGTGACCCAGTCCCCTCCTCCTCCATACTTCCACCTCTCTCCCAGGACTCACCCCAGCTCCTGCCTGCCCCTGAGGAAGAAGAACCACTCGCCACTGAGGACTTTGAGTTGCTGGATCAGGGGGAGCTGGAGCAGCTGAATGCAGAGCTGGGGTTAACACCAGAGACACCCCCAGAGCCCCCTGATGCGCCACCCCTGGGGCTCGACACCCTGTCTCTGGTACAGTCAGACCAAGAGGCACGGTCTGGGGCAGAACCGTGAGCCCCAGGGGAGCAGGCTGCAGGTCAGTAGGGCTTCCTGGCTAGGGGTGACACTTTTTCTCCCTTTTCCCTACTACTTGGGAGCGGCAACACAAGGGGAAGCTGGGTGTCCCTGGGCAGCTGTCCACCTTCTCCCTGCCTGCCTGCCTGCCTGCTGTCCTAGGCCTGGGATTGGTTTTAAGTTTGTAAATAATCTTCCACTTGGGTTAGTGGGTGTAAACAGGGCTAGGGAAGTCCTTCTTGCAGCCTGCATTTAACTCCCTGCCTCACCTGAATTTTCATTCCACTCTGCCCCAAACCCTGTCTCCGCCACACCTCCCTACCCCACCCCCTTTTTTTTTTTCCTCCTCAGGGACCTGTACTCTGTCCTCATGTCCCACTCAGTTGTTAGTTCTGGCACTTTATTGTTTTTCTTGCCTGTCTCATGCTCCTGTCTGTTTCATTTCCCTGCTGTGCCCTGTCCTTAGCAGCTCAATGCCTGCTCGTTCCACCTTTTCTTCCCGGCAGGCACTGGCTAAGCTTTAGGGAGGCATCTGGTTGAGAGGTAAAAACTGAATAAACTGGGGTAGTGGCTTAGCAGTAGTTGTGTCCCTGAGTCACTGCACCCTCACGCTAGTGTATCCTGGCTTCTGGTGATAATGGGACACATAGCAATGGGACTGGTGGGCATGATAGGGGTGGGGACTTCCTCACTGTCCAAGGGAGTGCTGAGAAGACATGCTTCTCCACTGTGGGTTGTCCAAGTGTGGTGGGACCCCCTACCTGAGTCAGGATGTGAATAATAACCAGAAAATAAAGTGCTGATTGGCTAGAATTGCTGCTGCCTGCCTGCCTCACTGTGAGCTGCCCCCCGTGCCCTGCGCTTTGCCCCCTCTCACTCCTGACCCCTTTATCCCCAATCTTAATCCTCCTGGCTGTTTATTTACCTTGGTGCAAAAGGAAGCCAGAAAAAAGAACAACCCAGACAATCCTAATTTCCCTGTAGCCATCTTTCTTGACAAGGTGATGTTTTGTGAGATTTTGCATATGTGAATAAAGTGTGTGCAGGAGGAAGTTGGTCTATCTTCCCAATCAGTAGTAAAGTGAGACCATACCAATTGTCTTCTACCATGTTCCCCATGGACTAGATCTTATTAGGAAGTTCTTGCCTACACATAGGAACATTTATCTTGTTCAATTCAGTTTCTGCCTACTGGGGGGATCCAAGCAAGCAATAGAGGACCTATACCTGAGTCTCACTCATTTCTGGTCATGGAACACTAAAGACGCAGTTGAGCTAACGTTTATCAAATGTTCAGTATGTGTGTGGTACTATCTTGATTGATTTACATGTCTTTGTCTTCACAACTCTATAAGATGGGTTTATTAACTCCATTTTACAGACATGTTAACTCCTGAAGAGACCGGACCCAAATCCAAACAGTCTGGCTCTGGCAAGCACTCTTGAACAATCAGTCTCTGCCCACTAATCGGGCACAAATGAGAAGATACTCGAGGACCTAGGAGTTGAGAACCAGTCTAACACCTTGACTTCACAAAGGGTGGCAACTCTCTCACTGGAAAAGGATAACATTAGAAAGCCCAGAACAGCCTGGTGAGTTCATGTCCATGGCCTTCAACTGGAGGTGCTATATGGCAGTGCTACCTTTCTGAGGCTGACTTCTTTGTCACGTCGCCTGAGAGAGAGAGGGAGTTTTTCCTCTCTGTGTGTTTCACATTTGCCTGAGACACAACCTTCTAGGGTTGATGGAGGTTCTGCCCTGTGCCATTGAAGGAACATGAACTTGTCATCTGCAGATTTCAGAGAATGGAAGCACAATTCTATCAATAAATAGGCAATTTAAGAAAAATAACCCCTCAGAAAGCCAGGAATTGCGATTCACCCTCCTATGACCCATTTCCCTGTTAAGATCATAGTTTGAGGATAGAACCAGAAGATTCTTGCTGGATCTAAACATTATAGGACAAGAAGGGTCCATTCTTGTCACTCACCCTAGTCTGCTGGTTGCTACATGTTTAGCTCTGACTTTTTTATTAGCAGGTGTCCTGGGCATTTAAAGGATAAATGAGTTTCCACTCAGGATTCCTGGATGGTGCAAACAATTAAGTATTTGACTACTAGCTGAAGTGGAGGTGGTTCCGATCCATCTTGAAAGACAGGCCTGATGACCTCTTCTGAAAGGTCACAGCCTTGGAAGTGCTATGGAGCAGTTCTACTCGGCACACATGGGGTCTCCGTGAATTGGAATCGACTGCATGGCAGTTACCAACAACACATGGAATGTCCTAACCGCTTTCCCTGAGCTTCCAACAAGACATCTCCACTTGAGTTTCCCCTAGGTACATTCTATTCAGTGTATCAAAAACGGAACACATCCTCTTTCCATTCTGCATGCCACCCCTCATCCTCAAATAACAGGCAACAGCAGGCTTACTTCCCCTTGCCCCACACCCAGTCAATCTCCAGTTGCTGTCCTAATTATTTCTTGACTCTCTGGTCTTCATCACAACCCTGCTTCAATCCTCTTACTTGACCCACTGAGATAGTTGCCCTGCCCCCACTCTTGTCCCTCGCCCCAAATTCACTCCCAACGAGGTGGCTTTGTTACGTGTCATCCAGTCAATTTTGACTCATTGAGACTCCATGTGACAAAGTAAAATTGCTTCATTGGGGTTTTCAGGCTGGAATCTTTACGGGAGCAGATCACCAAGTCTTTCTGCCATGAAACCATTGGTCCCAGGTGGGCTTGAACATCCAGCCTTTCAGTTAGGAGCTGCCTTCTTAACTGTTGTACCATCAGGGTTCTGATTGAAAAGTATAAATTTAACAACCTCTCTGCTATTTATTATTAATCAAAGACTATGCTACAACTCAAGCTCCCAGGTATGGCTAAACAGCTCTCTGAGATCTGACCCTGCCCTATCTTGTTGATTACAGCAACATTAAGTCCTAAACTGCATGTACTTCTTTCTGCTCAGCTGAGTGTACCACCACCACCACCACCACCCTGTATACACACATACGCTCTTATCTCACCACTTAGCAAAAGCCTCACTTGTCTTTTAAGATGTTCTTCAGTCTACATCTCATCGAAGAAGGCTTTCCTGAAATCTCTCATCTGCATCCCCATCTCAGACCTCTTCGAGGCCTCTCACAGTATCTTTTACATTCTTCTATGGTTATGAATCAGGCTGAAAACAGCAAGGTCAGCAGTTCGAAACTACCAGCTGTTCCACGGGAGAAAGATGAGGCTTTCTGCTCCCGTAAAGATTTACTGTCTCGGAAACCCTGTACAGGGTCGCTATGAGTCAGAACCGACTCCACGGCACATAACAGCAACAACATTGGTCCACATATCACATACATAAACTCTTCATTCTCTGTGTACTGTGGGTACATCTGTATAAGTATATGTATTCTTGTAAAGTGCCACTAACTCACAGTGACCCTGTATAGGGCTTCTGAGGAGCTGTTGGTGAATATGAACCACCAACCTTCCAGTTCAAACTAACCTTGCCATCCAGTGCATTATCCTACAGCGCCACACCAGAACTCCAAATCTATGTGAGGTCTCCACTATACTACCTGGAGTCCTAGTGTGCCGCTATATTTTGTTGTTACGTGCTGTTGAGTTGGTACCAACTCATAGCGACCCTGTACACAACAACAAAACACTGCCCCGTCCTGCACGAACTTCACAATCTTTGCTACGCCTGTGCCCACTGCTGCTGCCACTGTGCTAATCCAGCTTTTTCTTTTACCCTCCATTCTCCCAAACAAGATAGCCTTGTTCAGGGCGTGATCCTTCCTGATAATGTATCCGAAGCATGAGAGGAGGAGTCTGGCCAACCTGGCTTCCAAGGAGCATTCTGACTGTACTTCCAACAGATTGGTTTGTTATTTTGGCAGTCCATGGTACTTTCAATATTCTCCTCCAACACCATAACTTAAATGCATCAATTCTTCCACGATCTTCCTTACTCACTGTCCAACTTCCACATGCATATGAGGTTATTGATAATACCATGGCTTCTTGGGTCAAGCACACTTTAGTCTTCAAACTGACATCTTTGTTCTTCAACACTTTTAAAAAAAGTCTTGTGCAGCAGATTTGCCTAATGCAATACATCATTTGATTTCTTGACGCTGCTTCCATGAGTGTTGATGGTTGATCTGAGCAAAATGAAGTCTTTGACAACGTCAATCTTTTTTCCATTTATATGGATGTTGTTTATTGTTCCAGTGGTGAGGATTTTTGTTTTCTTTACATTGAGGTGCAATCCATACCGTAGGCTGTGGTCTGTGATCTTCATCAGTAAGTATTTTAAGTCCTCTTCGCCTTCAGCAAACAAGGTTGAATTATCTGCATATTGCAGGTTTTTAATGAGTTTTCCTCCAATGCAATAGGATTTTTTCCCAAATAATCCAGCCTCTTGGATTACGTGCTCAGTATACAGATTAAATAAGTATGGTGAAAGAATACAACCTTGGTGCACACCTGTTCTAATTTTAAATACATTGAGTGTCCCCGTGTTCTGTTTGAACAACTCCCTCTTGGTCTATGTACAGGTTCCTCATGAGCACAATAAAGTGTTCCAAATACTCATTCTCCACAATGCTGTCCATAGCTTGTCATGATCCACACAATCAAAAGCCTTTATATAGTCAATAAAGCAGAGGTAAACATCTTTCTGGTATTCTCAGCTTTCAGCCAAGATCCATCTAACCTCAGCAGTGTTATCCCTCATTCCATGTCCTCGTCTGAATCCTGCCTGAACCTCATGTAATGGCTGAACATCGACCATTTCTTTTTGGTACAGTGACTGTGTATTCCTTCCATCTTCTTTTGATGCTTTCTGCATCTTTCATTATTTAGCCCATAGAATCCTTCAGTATTTCAGGTTGAGGCTTGAGTTTTTTCACAGTTCCCTCAGCTTGAGAATCACTGAGCATGTTCTTCCCTTTGGGTTGTTTTGTTTTTTTGTTTTTTTTAACTCTGC